CTTGTGATGCTTTGTCCATGTCCATGAATAAAATGGGATCGTGGTTCAACAAATTATGATGTCACCATATTGGATCCTTTATGAAAAAACTATTATTGATTTGTGTTCAGTTTACTGTGCATGCGACAACAATCAAGAAAAAACCCCCCCTCCAAAAGCCACCCCCTGCAATCTGGCCATATCTAGGAGTCTCATATCATAGCTTCAGTTATTGGATATGTCTATTAATAAGTCCTTCAAAACTTTATTTCTTAATGATTACCTTTTAAAGCAGAAGACCACTAAATATCATGCTAATGTGATTATTCCCAAGATAAGTTACTATGAATTTTTACAGAAGAATCAGCCTTGATGGTCTGTCACCTGGAAAAGCAAGCATAATATTTTACTTCTAACATTGTGGCTTCATCTACGCAAGACACTGACTGTGCAGTCATTATTATGCAGTCATTTAGTAATTGTATAAACAAGTACTAAATGACTGAGCTGTAACCTAAGTTACTGCGCAGTAGGGCCACTGAACGGCTGTTTTGGGAGACTACTGCACAGTAGTGTCGCATCACGGTTCCTGCCACACGATGCTACTACGCAATAGTCTCGGACTACTGCGCAGACAACGTCTCATGTAGATGTGGCCCATGATGAGCAACCAGTTATATAAAAGTTTCAGACAAGAGTATTGTATTTATTTCAATATTTGTATTTTGTGTAGAAGCCCCAGTCAAAATTGAGGCTTCATTGTACTAGATGCTATACAGACTTGCCCCAAGGAACTCTTCATTCAGCGGTTGGTTGGTTATGACTTTGTAGTAAAAAGCACTTACGCCACACAGAAGGGAATTACAGTTAGCCCAGTATAAATCCAGGCTAAGTCCACAGACATCCCTTATCTGCATTCAGTTTTTTGAAAGTGATTTTTGCTTGTAGTATTCTACAAAGTAAGGTAAGGTACAAGAGAGGTAAAGTGAAAAAGCAATTCAGTCCCAGAACTCAACAGCAACTTTTTTATTCTTCACTAATTCACCAGCATAAGTCACTATGACCAATTTTTTTACAATAAAAACAATGTCTCATAAAAAATAAAACTATTCTTGCACATGTTAACAATAAACAGAAAACTTCCATTAAGGTCTTGAAATTGGCAGTTCTGGTGTTGTAAGAGTTAAGAGGTAACACTCTTATAAGAGCTGTAAGAGGGAACTTCAGTGAGGTAATTCTCTTCCAAATCTAAACAAGTTCTTTGATAATAGTTTTATTTTGGGCACCATCTTCATTGGCAATCCTGTGCAGTCAAGGATGATTGTCTTCCAAGATTGCCTTATCTGTAGGTCTGAAGTTGGCCGACAAGGCCAACAGGTTCTACTGCAACTCGGGCATGTGTTTCTGTGTGGTGTGGGTGGCTCTGTTCTTGATTTGGTCAGCCACACAGTTTCTGGCACTCTTGCTTTTCCATCTCCTACTGTGCTCATAAGATCCTTGCAGCAAACTCTTCCCTCATTTGGGGCGGTCCTGGGAGAGTTTCCCATGAATTGATGTTGATGCTGGGAGAATAAAACTTGCTTCGTGAGTCTGGAGTTGGACATCTGGGTGATGTGACAAGCCCAATAAAGTTGATGTCAGATGATCATCGCCTCGATGTTTGTGGTGTTTGCTTAAGAGAGGACACTAATATTAATGCATCTGTTTTCCCACTGGGCATGCACCACCTTCCTTCCTAATGATATACAGTAAAAGCCCTGTTATTTGGCACGAGTGGGGGATGGGGGTGCCGGGTATCTAAAAATTCCAGTTACCTGAGGCCAGCTGTTTTCAGCCAGACACAGAAAGGGGGAGCGGGGGCTGGCCAGGGCGGAGGCAGCAGTGTGGACGTTTCAGCCAGATGCAGAGCAGTGGTAGCACGGCGTGATGGCTGCCATGTGCAAGCTTTCCCTCCACCTCCCCCTGAGTCCAGCCAGAATTCTAGTTAATAGAGTATTCTGGTTAGTAAAATGCCAGATAACAGAGATATTACTGTAAGTAGCACAACAGCCTTATCAACTACTAAGTTAAGAAGTAAACTACTTTAAGTTAACTAAGCATCATATGGTATTTTAAATAATTGCCAGTCTCAAAGCTTGTCCACCATTTCTAGTTGGAACCAAAATGCAAGCACAACCTAATTCAATGTACCTAAAAGTTTCCCTTGGTGGAGCACAATGTATGTAAACCAATTATCTGCTTACATTCAAAGGTCAATCTTCAAATCATATAGGACATAATACATTTCAGATTTCAAGTCTACTGTATTATTTATAAAAATTATTAAGTTTTGATTTTAAAAATAAAAAGTGAGTTTTGTTGGAGTGCCAGAAATTATTCTGCATTAGTTCTAAAGACATCTAACTGAAAGAATGCACACATCAGCTATGGGAAAAGAAAAGGCTGCTCTTGGCTGTATTATTGGCCAAGTATACTAAAGCTCTAAATCCCACCCGGGGCATAGATCTGAAACTAGGCATTTCACTGCCCGTAATTATTGGTTAGATATCCAGCTGAAAGTGAAGAGACTCGTATGCAGCAGAAAAAGCCTCAAAGATATGCTCAAGAAAAGCATAGCAGAAAGAACATGAGCCAGATAATAAAATATCTGCATAAGAGTCAGACAGCCCTGAATGAGCCGAAATGAAACATGGTTTAAAAACTGGTAGTGTTCCATTCAACTGCAACAGTTTTGTGGCATTTTTAGTCTGAACTACATACATGATTTAAACATTGATTTAAAAAATATAACTAAAAAAAACATGCTTCAACACTTAAATACCTTTACTGTGCCCCAGGCCTCCACAACTCACTTGAAGATGCTACCCCTGGTAAACAGATTATCACATGGATTTATGCTCCTAAATCACAGTTGCTTTGAAAATCTTACCTTAAGTTGTTTGGGGTTTTTTTACCCATTAATAAGTGATTCTGCTCCAAATTAAGGTACTGAAATTTTGTTCTCAAAAATCCATCTTTAGGGATGCATGCCTATGTACATATGCACTAACAGGGGTGGGGAAGGGGGTGCAATGTCACAGTCACATGCCCCATCTGCAACGTAAGGCACATAACTGTGGATCGAGTTCTCCACAACCCCAATGCCTGGGTCCCCTGCAGAGTCTGAGGCAAGGCTGAAGCCCCAGTGTGGCATATAACACCTGGCAGAGAAAGCAGGGAGAAGGCGAGGAATGGAAGACCCGACTGCTGCTGCCGCTATCCCCACGTGTTCCAGCCCTTGGCTGCAGTACAGGGTGCAAGGCTTGGCAGCAACAGATGAGTCCCTGCTCCTTATCTCTCCACATTCCCTGGGGGCTCCAGCTACAGGGACAAGCTGTGTCTCATGCTGGGCTGGACCAGGGATGGCACCAGCAGCAGGCAGTTCCCCCTTCCAGCACCTGCTCCCAGTCAGCAAAGTACACCCAGGGGACTGAGCAGATAGCAGAAATGCCTGAAACAAGGGACCCAGCTACTGCTGCTGCTGTCCCCAGCCAGGCCTGGCACCCTCTACTGCTGATCACAGAAGCCCCTGGGACAGGAGCAGCCCTGGGACTTCACCTGCCTCTAGGTCAGCAAGGGCAAGTCCCCTCTTGCTGCACCAGGAAATAAACAATTTCAAGCAAATCCTGCTAGAAAGGGTGAGGGAATGAGAAAGTGTACACTCTAGAATGAACATGCTGATCTTTGGCATTATCCAACCTTTGCCTATTTGAAATAGCCTACTATTATGTAGGTGCCAGACACCTCAAAACAAGAGGCCAGCTTATGAATTTTGGATACATTAGACATATCAGAGCAAACAGACAGCAGAAAAGGAAGGAAGAGAGAAGTTCAGCTCAAGTGAGATATTTTCATTAGTTTATTCTGTACACAAGATTAATTTAAATGGTTTTATATATATATATATAAAAAACAACATAAAACAGGTATATACTATACACATCTAATACAAGAGTTAACAAGTTACTTTCCTGTACCTTGTCAATTCTATTTGGTTTGATGATGGGCCCCCACAATGCTATTTTCGCAGTTGCTTTTAGCATTGGCCTGGGGTGTCAAACTTATACACAGCCCCAGTGCTAGATCGAGATGGAGGGACTCCCTGCAAGCTGGATCTGGAACAAGAGCTTCACAGGCCAGATCCAGATGCAGTGGCACTGGCAAGGTATACAGGAGCAACCCGAGGCTCAATACAGTCATCTAGTTTCCCCCAACCCCACTGACATCCTCAGTGGGGTTCTATAGGCAGGAATCAGCAGGCAATTAATGAACTACAAAAATAAGCAACCATGTGCTGAATATCCAACAATCTGAAAGTGACCTTTCCTACTCCAGGTCTCAAAAGCTACAGGCATTGATTGCAGCATGCATCAGGATGTGATATTAAAAATACCAAGGAACCCAGCTGTAATTAGGCCACAGGGATACCATTTCTACTATTCATGTGTGTTTTATACCTTAATAGGAATTATACTTAAAAAATCCACTCTAGAATGTTCACTGTGTCTTGGTTTGGTTTGTCTACTCCACTTTTGACAGTCCAAGTTCGCTGCAACTGCTACAACCACCAAAGCAGGCCTGAGAATGGCAACTTCTATTTTCAAGGAACCTAAATGGAAAGTTTAAAGGATACCATTGCTTAGGACTTCAAATACTTAAGATCTCAACTTTTAAATTTACTACAAACTTACTGAGGCTCCACTTACAGCATTAGTGCATGTGCAGAACTTTTTGATATTTTAAAAAGAGAGCCACAAGTATTTATGTAAAACTTGAAGATTCTTATATTCCCATTTTACACATCCCTAGGGGGTTAAAATCTGTCTTTACTTTGTTTTCTCAAATAACGACTACCTAAAAAAATGAAAGCCATTCTTTTACAGCTGCTTAGACAGCACTGTGCAATTAGTCTTAGGAGACGGGGGGGGGGGGGGGGGGCCCCACCAAAGAGGAACGTAAGAAAAAAAAAAAAAAAATCAACGTAAAATTATACTTTTTTTATTCATTCCATTTTAGCTGAGAATATTCCTATTATACAAATACAGTATAGATTAAAAAAAAAAATCACAAAATATTACAAAATTAAAAAAAAAAGTACAAACTGCATTACTTAATAAATATATCTAACAAGTTAAAGTTAACCAGAAATTAGAGAGAAAGCTTTCAGGTTGGAAACAGTGAACGTTTGACCCAGCAAACCATACAAAGTCTTAGCTTAAATACGTCCTTGTTTAACATAATGCAGAGGAATCCTACTTTTTTATTAGAAAAAAAAAAAATATCAAGAGGAATAAAACATTCTGGAAAGATAATGGCTTACTGCTGCAATGCAAAGTGCCAAGAAACAAAACGGGGGCATTTACATATAAGAAACAAACCCCAGAAACAAGGCAGCAAACAGCAAGGTCCAGCCAAGATTTTTTTTTTTTTTTTTTGCTGAAGCAGCAGACTATTATCTTGTCACAACATTGTATTGTAAATTAAATTTCTGCTATTACAACTGAACAAGTTATTAATAGAACAAAGGACAAGCCAACCAGGCAACAAGAGGCCAGTTTACTCTAAAACAGTAATTAAATACAGAAGAGTCACAATCACTCCCTGTACCATTCATAAGCAGATGCCTTCCAACTGGCTCAGAGAACCTGTTCTACATTTGAGACAAATGGGAAAGCGGCTTCTTTGAAAAGTAGCCATTATGAAGTTTGCTGTACTTATGATAACAAGGTTTTAACTGAAAAAAAGTTTACCTTCAGTCAGGGAAGATGAGCCTGACATCAATTTCATTTGGTACAAATATAGAGGTGTACTAGTAAAAATCACAGCAAAAGCTGTTACATCATTCATAAGCCTTATTTACAAAACAAACTGTTTACAAACTCTTTTTTGGCTGTACAGCTGAAAACCAAATGCTAAGATGAGATGTTAGAGAAGGAGGTAACAGTTTAAAAATACTGTGCAAAAAAATACATTCTTATAGAAAAAAAGAGAACTGGAAAAAACCAACACAAATATACATGGAGAATCCACTCGCAAGTAATCCAGGGGTCATTTTATACAAAGGGAGTATTACAAATACCAGCTTGGGCTTAAGTCGTGCCCGTGCCAACAGTTCAGTACTGTAGGGGCTCCTCAGCCAGGGGCACCACGGCGACTTCCTGAAGCATTAAGGCATTGCCACCGGGGCACTGGTGCGCAGTATGTCTCTAGCGCGGGGCCCAGGCAGGCTCAGGAGCAGGCGTTCTGCTCAATATACATCTTGGACAGGGACACAGCCATGGACTTGGCCAACTCCTCATCCCGTCTCCGCTGCATCTGAGTCTGCCGGCACCAGGCCTCGTACTCGGGGTTGGGGCAGGCGCGGTCCAGAACAGCGTCATAGTGCCCATTGCTGAGCCAGCTCAGCCAGATGCTGGGCCGCATGGGGTCCTCGGGGCCCAGGTAATGCACCATGGTGGAGACAGTGGGGCTCTCGGGCCGCCCACCCGTGGTGAGGTGGATGTTGACGTTCAGCATCTGCCCCATGGCCAACAGCTCTGGGTAGCCAGCCCAGGCCCCATCCTGTGCAGCGCCGATGAGGAACTCGCCCACGTCACCCTCAATGATGGGGCTGAATTGGTCCAGGTGGTCGGCGATGTAGTGCACGGTCTCCTCGCGCAGCTCGCCGTGCAGCCGCTGCTCGCCATACACGGCCCTGCACACGGCGCGGTACAGGCAGTTGCCGTCGGGGATGATGTGGAAGCGGAAGCGGCCTTTCTGCCGCAGGTAGCGCCGATGAGGAACTCGCCCACGTCACCCTCAATGATGGGGCTGAATTGGTCCAGGTGGTCGGCGATGTAGTGCACGGTCTCCTCGCGCAGCTCGCCGTGCAGCCGCTGCTCGCCATACACGGCCCTGCACACGGCGCGGTACAGGCAGTTGCCGTCGGGGATGATGTGGAAGCGGAAGCGGCCTTTCTGCCGCAGGTACTTGTCCTGCTTCTCCACCTCGGCCAGGTACAGC